TCTATCTATCTATCTATCTATCTATCTATCTATCTATCTATCTATCTATCTATCTATCTATCTATCTATCTATCTATCTTTCTATCTATCTATCTATATATATATATACATACATATAATTTTTTTCCTTCCAACTACCCTAATACTGACAAAGGTCTCTTGATTTACAAATATCATCTTTCCATGCAGAAATGTAAACAGTTCAACCTTAATAAGTCTCGTATGATTTCTCTTTCCTGTTTACCTCTTCATGTTCCACTTAAGTCTTGTATTTGAAAGTCAAATTTTCTATTCAGCTCTGGTCTTTTTATCAAGAATGCTTGAAAGTCCTCTATTTCACTGAATGACCATATTTTCCCCTGAAGGATTATACTCAGTTTTGCTGGATAAACATTACACTAAATTTAGCAGCCACTATAATAAAACTGGAGAACATGTAGTATCATATCCCAAAAGGCAAAAAAATAGGCTTAAAACAAAAAACAACTTGCCCGGCAAAGTTGCATATAAATCGAGTATGAAATCGATGGTTGATTATCCATTGATTAGAGGTTGATTTTTTTTATTCATAGCAATAACCATTGTAACCAATTTCTAAAGGCTTTGAATTAGAACTATTTTGTCTAAGCCTTGGTGGTATGATATTTGATAGGTGACTATGCATGTCAATTGGAGCAAACCTGCCACTTGAAAGAGATAAAGAAGATGAATGAAGGATGATTCACATTGGTCATGGGACGTTTTTCCTAGCATTGGTTTTCTGCAGTACAGGGTAGTGCAGGTTGGTGACTTTTTAAGGTTGTTAACTAACTCTGTACCTATTACCATGAAGTCTGGAAGATCACTTTATGATTCAGCATAATTATGGACCAATCACAGTCTTAGTTTAGTTGGCGCTGATTGACATTATGTAATGAACTTATGAATACAGACTGAATGAAAGGATACTCTAATTGTAGGGATGGGTCTTTGATCACTGAGGGATCATTGAACTCTATTATTGGTAACTGCTCAGCTTACCAATAAATAGATTATGCTCAGCTTTTTGTGCCTCAGTTTCCCTTAATCACAGATTAAATGTGACAAGGAGGATAAATGACTTATTAATGAAATAGAAGATTTCCTAGAATTCCTGATGCAAAGGCCAAAGTTGTATAGAAACTTAGAAATACAAAGACTGAAGTACAGAGAGGAATATAAAAGTAAATATAAATGAGAAATTATGAGGATCCAAACAAGAATTTATTTGAATACATATGCTACATACCACTCCCCAACCCCCACAGAACTGTCTTCTTTTTTTATCACTGAAAATGTTTGTTTTTTTTTATATTTTTGCATATCTTATTTTTTAATTTTTTCCACTTAATAGTATTTTATTTTTTCCAGTTACATGTGAAGATAGTTTTCAACATTCACTTTTATAAGATTTTGAGTTCCAAATTTTTTTCTGCTTTCCTCCTCTCTCCCCTCCCTAAGACAGCATACAATCTGATATAGGCTATACATGAACAATAATATTAAACATTTCCACATTAGACATGTTGTGAAAAAAGAATCAGAACAAAGGGAAAAACCCTGAGGAAAAAAAAAAAGAAAATAGTATGCTTTGATCTGCATTCAGACTCCATAGTTCTTTCTCTGGATGTGGACAGCATTTTCTATCATGAGTCTTTGGAATTATCTTAGATCATTGTATTGCTGAGAAGACCTAAGTTTATCAATGTTGGTCATTGCACAATGTTGCTGTTACTGTGTACAGTGTTCTCCTGGTTCTGCCCACTTTACTCAGCATCAGTTTATGTAAATCTTTCCAGGTTTTTCTGAAATCTGCCTGCTCATCATTTCTTATAAAACATTAGTAATTCATTACATTCATATGCTACCACTTGTTCAGCCATTCCCCAATTGATGAGTATTTCCTCAATTTAAATTCTTGACCACCACAAATGGCTGCTATAAATATTTTTGTACATGTGAGTCCTTTTCCTTTTTTTATGATCTCTTTAGGATACATACCTAGTAGTGGTATCGCTGGATTGAAAGGTATCCACAGTTTTATAGCCCTTTGGATATGAAAACTCTATCATCTTAAGAGGTAATAGAAGGAATCTAATAAGTCAGAGTCTGGGAATTTTTTTTTTACATATTTTAATATTAGTCTTTATTGATGTCTTATGATTTTTATATCATCGTAGTTATCCCCAGTATCCATCCCCATCTCCACCCAGATTTCCATCTCCAATAGCATATAGTATTTCTTTTAGATAAAAAAATGATGAAGAAGGCTCGGATTCTTAAAATCTAGCCACTGCTTAGATTCTTATAATCTATCCAATAACTTACTAATGTTCAGACTCCTCAAGAGTCTGCCCAATATGACGGATGTTCTAATAAACCTTGTCTTTGGCTGAAAGAAGGCATGGGTCGAATTCTTTCGGGCAGGACCCGTGTGTTGTGATATTGGGGTCCCAGCATCTCTGAACCCCTTAATCGCATCATTTTGGTGGCCCGTACGGGGAAACTGTGTAACCCCAAGTTATTCTCCAGCCAAGACTGGAAGGTATGTAAGCCTTCCCTCCCTCCTTTCTTGCTCTGCAGTTAGGGTCACTCTCTAAGCATCAAGGTTTGGAGGTGCTTTTCAGGCAGACAGCTATGAGGCTGTCTTGCACTCTGCCTGATGCTCTCAGGCTCTTGGTCCACTGGGTCAGTTTGAGACCATGGACCTGGGTACACCTTCCACAGCATAGAGGACAAGGACAGATGCCCTATCTGGAAGTGTATGCCCAATTCTATTAATTCTCTCAGCGCTAGAGAATTGGGGAAAACTACAGTTGCTTTTTGGTTCCCTGAGGCTTCCTTACTCTCTTCCCTCTACCCCTGAATCTTCCTTTGTAGAGGTTACAGGGGAAAGTTAGAACAGCTAAAAATATCTTGGCAGATTTTGGAGGTTTTGTGATTGATCATTAAGGAGTTTTGAAACTCCTCCTTACAACCCTGGTCACTCCTTTCTCCCACTCCCTTCCCTTGAGTCAAGAGGGTATGTTAACCCCACTCATAGGAGAAGAGAGTTTCACCCTTTATCCCTCACTTTTGATTTCACCCTCCCCCACCTGAAAAAGGAAGGAGGGGTGAGGGGCAGCAGCTACTGTGTGGGCCCCACTGGCAATGGCCTTGGGCCCTAGGGCAACCTTTGTCTGGAAGCATCACCCAGGTTCAGCACATCCTGCTCAAGGTAAAGAAGCTAGCCTTCGAACTTGGGTAAGCCGACTCTTTTAAAGTTTAGTTTTAACTGTTAATGATGAGATGTTGATTCTCTGTGTAAAGTAATTTGGAAATGAATTTAACAATTTAACAAAACTGGAGTCACCTGATTGGTAATGGGGATGTTTCAAGTTTTAAATTGGTGAACTTGTATCAGTTATGTCAAGCAACTTTTCATAATTTGGTTATCGCTAAAATAATTTGGCTATTGTTGGTTATTGTTTTAATGTGTAAACTTGCCAAAAAGCCTGTCTGGGTTTTGTCTTGCTAAGAATTTGCAATTATATAGAAATCACCAACGATTGGCTTTTTACACCAGGACAAATTCAAATTTGAGATGTAAATCCTAGAAAAGTTTTTCCTAAGCTGTGATTAATGAAACTTGCTGTTTGAGGTAAAAGCTCATAGGATTTCATTTTGAGTTGTCTGATGGATCATAATCCATCGATAATCAATAATCCACCATCTGAGAGAAATGCCACAAGCTACTCAGAGAAGGTGATACTGGTGGGAAGTCAGCACTGAGAAAAGCTGAGAGGACAATTTCAGCCTCAG